TCAGGCTCAGCTGGGTGTGTGTGTCTTCAAGCTGTGAAGTGGATCACAGTAGCCGCTGAGAGAAAGAGGAGAAATAAGAGAAAGAAGAGAGAGGGGTGTGTTGGGAAGTTCCTTCACTGCACTCCATGACTACGTTCACTTCGCTCACACACACACATACGCACACTTCCAGGGTTGTCTGGACTTCAACAGGTGTCAGACCGTAAAGAACATCCTGGAATGACAATAACCGGTCTCAAAATCCGCAGAGATGGCCACCGGTACATACGCGCCGTTCCTCCTCTCTTGTTAGCGCGCCCATCTCCCTACGCCCTGAGGACATTGAGCCCACAGTAGGCGAGCGTCTCTGTCGACTCTGGATCAAGATAGAGTCTGAGGACGACTTCCACACACATGTACGACGTCACGTCACTCCGTCCATCTCATGCACACCACTCCAGCGACAAATGCCGCCCTACTCAAACCCGTATCCCGCCTTTCACCATGGTTACCATCCCGCCATGAGTCACATGATGCAGCCCGATCACGAAGCGACGCCTCCTCCTCCCCTCGTCCATGGTCTTTCCCCTCCAAGGTTAGGTCACACCCCCTTTTTCAGGCCCGCCTGTGGGGTCCCCGACCCCCACATTCATGCCCCCCCACGGGCCCCCTATGGCAATGAACCAGGACCCCCTCCTCCGCTGCAACACCACCCAAATTCAAATTACCCCCACAATCACCCGGGGCCACCGCCCCCAGGGGAAAATTCGTCGTCATCGGCTGCTGGGACCAACGGAGGAAACGGTGGGGGGCCCCCGCAGAACTTCCCCAACCCCCTCTCCTCGGGGGGGCCTCCCTCACACAGCTATTCGGCCTTCCGGAACAATCTCCGGACTAACCCCCCGCCAATGAGCTACTCTGCCAAACGCCTACAGCAACAGCAGCAATCCACAGTCTACCATCCCTCTGATAAAGAACCCGGCGATGGCTCCCCACCGGAGGGGGAAAAAGTCGAGACAAACGAGGAAGCCCCTCTCATTGAAGCCAATCAGGATTCAGTCTCTTCCACGTAGCCGTGTATTCGGCTGTGCTTCTTCTTGCCAACCTATCTCTCGCTCTCTTAACCTCTTTATCCTTGTCTTCTGTTCTCGAGCATCTTCTAAGAGCTCTGCCTGGCCGGCAGGGGGTGTGTACGTGTTTACGGGCCTTTTGTGGGAATACATGATCACCTGAGAAAAATCGAAAAAATTCAAAAATGTCCCCTCTCAAAAAAATTTGTGGATTTTTAGTCTCTTGTGCCATGTGACTTTAAAGTAATGATAAGTAATACGTGAACTTTTGTGGACCTTTTTGGAACATTTACCTAATGGACAAGAGCACCTTGAACTGTATTAGTGGATGTAGCCCTCATTGTTTCTATATTGGACGTCCCATCTGTTAATTGGACAGCCTACTTAGTACCCAGACTGCATAATCACATAATTCTCTAGGACAATTGTTGGACTGCGCATCTCTCTCTCCTTTCATTGAGACTGGAAAAGGGTGCCACCGTCTCTAAGGACTACAGTTGTACATATGTGTTGTTCGAGTCATGTGGGCGGGGCAATGCCTAGAGACACGCCCCCTCTCTCCTCCCATTTGTGCCCTAACAAGCTTCAACCAACGAAGGATAAAAAGACATTCACACTCCCCCAATTTCTCTCTCTTTCTCTCTCTCACTCTCATTTAGTACCCACACTGTTCTGGTTTGCTGTGGGTACGCCCCAATAGATTTTGTATTTATATCTGGAAAAAACACTGTCTTTTTACTGTTTAGGTATTTGGACACACGTAGCAATGACTATTAGAGTGGGACAATTTTTGCACTTTTTGATACTTTTTTATTCGTCAATGTCAAATTTTTAGAGTCAAATTTTTCTCTACTGTTGCTAGCAATTTTAGTGCCTCAGACTTTCCACCGGTGAGAAAACCCTGCCCCAATCCTTAAAGTTTAACCCTTCTCTGCATAAATTTAACCCTTCCTGTCCCCGTATGCTCCCTGAGTGTCTGTGTGTTGCATGTGGACTCTCTCTCCCGTCATGTGACATGTATGTGGCAGCAAGCAGTACATGACCGAGGCAGCTGCTCTCCTGGACTCTCGAAGAAGAGGACGGTCGAAGAGAGGGCGTCGCCACCGGCCAGCAAGAGGAGTGCCACTGTCTCCAGCAGCGAACGTATGGCCCATTCTAGTTGTGATACCTTTCTAAGTTTTTGTTTTGGCTTGCTGAAACATGTAGGCAGAGTTTGTGTCTTTTAAATGCCAGGGTTTTAGCAAGAAACAAGGGGTTCCTGTCTGCTTTCCACCCTTAGTCCAGGTGCTTATACGTGCACGTGTTTGCCCTGATTTTGCCCCAGGACGTCACGGAGAATCCTCCTCGATGTCCCGCAGTCTCACCGCAGTGTGAGGGAGGAGGGAGGCCATCGGGAGAGAGGGAAGGAGAGGAGGGGGAGGAGCCGGAGTCGCAGCCACAGCAGAGAGAGAGACGGCCGGAGCGGGAAATCTGTCCGATACGTCCGGAAAGAAGACAAGACGAAAAAGAAGAGGTACGTTGAGCTCACAAACAATTTTACGTGTTTACCTTTTAGTTCAGGGTTTTTCTACTCCTCCTCAATCAATATTGGGATTTGTACCATACCCCTTGCACGTCTGTGATGTTTGTAGAATGAAGTATGTAGCAAAAGAGCATAAACTGTGTTATTGTGTTATGTCATGTATATGGAACTCCCCCCCATTACTCCCTACGAACAGATCTCCAAGCCCCAGCTTTGAAGAGGATTTTGGTGTGAGTAAAGAGACTCTCCTCCACGGGTCCTATGCCGACTACATAAAAGAGTACTCGGCCAGGTCTGGTCGTGCCGGTGGGGGCTCTGGGCAATCCTCCAGCCACCAGCCACACCAGGTAGCACTCCTAGACCCTCCTCCGCACGCGCACACACACACACACACTCGCTCTCCGTCTCTCTCTCTTCCAGACGCCGGCCATGTTGGCCAACCTTGCTGCGGCGTACCAAAAGGCACTCAACCAGTTCACGACAAAACTGGCACAGCAGGACCCCTCCAAAGTGAGCCACAGAGCCCCCTCAACCAAACTGAACCCCCCTCTCTCCCTTTTCTCTTCTTCTCATCTCTCAGATGCCTCCAATGGACCCAAAGACCTACTCTCGACTGGTGGAAGAGTTCCTTTCCAAGACCCAGGGAACTAAATCCAGTCACCGCTAACAAACTCTGCCTTGGGCCGAGCTAATGTCGGATCAATTTTTCTCTATGTGATGCCTTTCCTCTTGAGAAAATGGTTGAACAGTTAATTTTGCACTTGGCGCGCTCGCTTTCGCGTGTTTACGTAACGAGCTGGGGGAAGCCCCGTAATAAACGCGGGTACGCCTTGCAGCGGGGAGCGATGTGGAAGGGGCATTGTCTCTACGTCTTTGTGGCGGTGGTTGGGGTTCTTGCACTCCAAAAAGCCGTCTCTGGAGCTGGCGAAGCGTCCTCTACCGCTGGAGGGACCCGCACTAGCGGCCTTCGCAATGGGGACGGCGGCGGTAGCGGACAAACGGAGCGTTTACCTGCACCCAAGCCACCTCCGCCTCCTACTTCTGCGCCTCCTCAGAGGACGGAGGGGGAGCAGATCGCCGATTTCCCTCCTCGGTCCTGGTCGGCGCGGCCTGGCATGAGTGCAGGAAAGGACCCGGGGGACTTGCAATCAGAGCCAAGGGATGGTGGAGATGGCGGGGCAGAAGAAGGGCAGTGCTTGGCTGACGACCAGGTATTCACTGCATGCTGGAGTGTAGTACGCGAAAGTTGTGTCTTTACGCAAAATCCATAATGCTTTAGCGTATATATAGCTAATGGGTGGCTTGTAAGTATGCAGAAAAGTTGTTCATTCTGTTCATTTCTGCTGGTGTCTTGGCTGACTACCAAGGAATGTGGGGAGCAACAATGTCAGTGGAGCTCCGACACGGGAGCTGTCTACAGCCTACAGGCATTCTCCAGCAGAGCTCTCCAGACCTCCGTCCATAACCTGAAGGGTTCCCTCCTTCGTTTCAGCTTCTGCTCAGAGATCACCTGCAACGGAAGACAGACGCCCACCTGTCTCAATGTTCCGGGAGTCAAACTGACCTCGACCGGAGTTACGTCGTCGGTGACCCCCATCGAACCCCACGTCCCGGGGAGGGGGTTCAAACTGGTCCTCACCGACGGAGACGTCTGCGAGGTAACCGGGAAACCGCGCACCACGACCTTTCTTCTTCCCTGCAGTCCCAACTCGAAACACCGCGTGGAGAATTTCAGAGCGATGCGAGCTATGGAGGGCACGAAGGAGAACGTGTGTCGGTACATGGTTGAGTTTCCCCCCACTCAGTTTGGGTGTCCTGTGGATGGTGGTGGCGGCAAACCCACCCTCACTGCTGGTGAGAACTTCGTTTCTTCCCTCTCCTCCACTTTCTCCCACACAGCACACTTGCTCCGTGCAGTTTTGTGGGTCTGCACGCACAGACACAATATTCGCAGCTGTCCATCAAAATTATGTCACTGTTTCTGGAGCAAAGATTAAGAGTCATCCATAAAAAAGAATTTATGTGCCTTAAAGTTTGGTGCTATACGTTTCTCCTTTACGCATTGATTCTCTCTGTTGTGACCTACTTTTTGCATGTCTCTTTTTTCTCTTTCTCCACCCCCTCCCATTGAACTCTCTCTCTCTCCTCCTCTCCCCCTCCCACTCAGTGCAAGGCTGCGTCGACTCGCTCCCTCTCCGTACGACGGAAGACTGTCACTACGCCGCCAGAACACAGCTGAGTCTCCACGGCCTCAAACTACACCTTCTCTGTCCCGATGGCTCCGAGAATCACTTCTCGTCTTCTCGCTGCACCAGATCCTTCAGACAGCGGTACACTGTCCACGTCGGTCCGCACACATGCGGCGACCCCACGGTTATATCACAGTTCACACTCAACTGTACTCTGGATAGAGGGACGGGGAAGGGGTTAGACGTGGTCGTGTACAAAACAAACTCAGAGGGACGGAAAGTGGTTGTGATGGAGTTGGGAGGTGCCGTGAGTTTCAAGGACGCGATTGACTTCCGTGAGAAGTTTGCCAAGTTTACAGAGCTGGGTGTGGGTGGACTGAAGAAGGAGATTGAGGAGTTGTATCGCAGAGCCTTTGCCTCGAGAGGTCAGCACCCACATAACCTTGTTCATTCACTGCCTCTCCATTAAAAACACGTGCGTTGATCCCTTAACTTTTAAATAGGGAGCCTGGGAACAAGGACGTACAACTAGGACTTTTTTTTTACTTCCACCTCTTTTTTTCTCAGGTGTGTCACAAGAATTGCTGGGAAAGATGGGAATAACCCACGTGAAGGTGTGTGTATTAATCAGAAATCCCACACAGTGTTCTATTGTGGTGGTCTCTTGTCTATTGTCCACTCACACACACACAGGGCATTCTGCTGTACGGGCCACCAGGTACCGGGAAGACACTGATAGCTCGCACCATCGCCAAGATCCTCGGGTCAAAACAGGTAGGCAGAAACATCTCGTAATTTTGTCCAAAATTGTGGCGCACTTCTCCGAAATTTGGGGGGTGGGGGTTTAAAATTTTGAGGAAAACTACAAATTTTGAACGTGATAAATTGCTGTCAAACGCTTGGTAGTTTTTACTTGTGTAATGCTACAGTCAGTGTGTGACGTTCTCTGTACTATTGATTATGTAGGTACAGCTCATCAACGGTCCAGAGATTATCAGCAAATACCTCGGAGAGTCCGAACGCAACCTTCGGTCAGTCTGCTCTCTCTCTCTCTCCTCTCTCTTTCTCTCTCTCTCTCTCCTCTCTCTCTCTCCTCTCTCTCTCTTCTCTCTCTCTCTCCTCTCTCTCTCTCTCTCTCTCTCTCTCTCTCCTCTCTCTCCTCTCTCTCTCTCTCTCCTCTCTCAGTTCATAGTAGTAGTGTTTCTGTTCCAGAGCCCATTTTGAGGCAGCTCAGAAGGCCTGGAAAGAGCACGGAGCTCTCAGTGAACTCTTTGTCATCATCATCGACGAAATTGACGCCATCTGCAAACCTCGAGGTATCAGCAGTGGGGGGAAGTGTGTGCCCTCCATCCTTCTCTCTGTCCACTCACATTATCACTTCATTGGGCAAAAGCTCCGTGTCATTGCACACACATTATAAAAGTAATGAGTTCATAGACCTAAAAATGGAAGTGAACGTTTACTCCGCAAATTTCGTGGGTAATTTTGTCCTTGAAAAGTGGGTAAGGCATATTCAATCTATATACTTACTATATGTTTCAGAGAAAACCGACTGTTAGTAACTTTGGCACATGATACTACTCCCTTCACAGATGCAAAACTATATTTTTCCGACTGTTTTTTTAAGGTAAGACGGACCAGTCTGCCGCGGGAGTTGCGTACGATGCTCTAGTGAACCAGCTGCTGACGCTAATGGACGGTCTGAACGAGGCACACAACACCATGGTGGTCGGTCTCACCAACCGCAGGGAGCTCCTCGATACTGCCCTTCTGAGACCTGGGAGGTGAGGGAGTCAGAGTAAGAGCCTTCATTGCCTTCATTCCACTGGTTTACTCTCTCACTGAAAATAAGCATTAGTAATAATAAGCCTGTAATACTGGGCCTATTGACAACGTTAAAGTGAAATACTTGCTCAATTACGTCACTATAAGTATCATTTCTCACAAACAGTGATCGACGCTCGACTTCCGAATCTTTTCCACAGGTTTGAAGTCCAGATAGAAGTCAGTCTCCCGGACGAAGAGGGGAGAGAGGAGATTTTTGAGATCCACACGCGCTCCATGCAGGCAGCGGGGATGCTGGGCGGGGACGTGGATCTGCGACAACTGGCAGCTGCCACGGGTCGATTCAGTGGCGCAGAGATTGCTGGCGTCGTCAGATCTGCCTCTGCATTTGCCCTGGAGAGATATGTATGTTTTGTAGTGTGTGTCGTGGTTTGCATGACCAAGAGAGTGTGGCCCATTTGGAGCAAGAGAGTGCAGGCAAGCTTCTTGTCTCTGCATAGCGTGATGGTAAGGAGGCTCATCATGTGTAATAGTAGTTGCTGATGACGTCATATGTTTGCAGAAGTAGAACAACAGAGCTTTTTTGACCACTACTAATAATATGTTTTTCTCTCTCTCCTCCTCCTCCTCCTTCCCCTCTCTCTCCCTCCCTCCTCGCCTGGTGAAATCCACAGCAGTCATCTCTCAGTTCAGAGGAGAGTGTTCTGGTGACAGCTGCAGACTTCCAACAGGCCATTATCTCCATCAACCCAGCCTACACACACTCCGAGGCAAGTTAAAACTCTCACCAAAGGAACTTGTCGCGAAATTTTCCGTGATGCGGTCGACCAGCGAGCACGACACACTATCACTTCTACGTCCTGTTTTCATGTATCCATGAGTATGGTGTACAACTTATGCAGTAATGCTTCTCTCGGACAATGAAAATAACGCATTTTTGCACCGGCAGAAAGCAAGCTATGCACTGTAGTTTCATGCTACCTATACTGTATGGATGATCTCTCTCTCTCTCTCTCTCCCTGCCTCCAGAACCAGGTGTCCTCGATGTACCTGCCGCACGGTTACCTCAGCTGCGGAGAGTCCCACGACACAGTGGTCCGTTTGACCCTTGACCTCCTCCACATGCTCAGACACAGCCCCGCCAGTCAGATACAGACGTTGCTGCTATATGGTCCACGGGGTGCGCAACCCTCCCCCATTCCAGATATTTCGTATTTACTGTGTTTTTATGTTTTCAGGTAGCGGCAAAAACTGCACTAGCAGCTCATCTTGCATGGTTGGCAATTCTCCTTTGTAAAGGTATGTGCATCTTTGTCCATTGTTTAATCGCCATTTCTAATGCTCTGTCGTCTCAACACTACGATGCACACTTGGTTGGCACCACAAATGCCTACACGCTAATTCAAAATGTTAGCGGATTGTTCACAAATGTTCACATAATTGGCATGTTTTTATGCTCTTCTTCATCGATCACCTACCCCCTCCCTCGTTCCTGTCAGCCTCGTCAGTGGTGGGGCGATCCTCTCTCCACAAGATGGAGGCCATTCACGCTGCGTTCTCTGGTGCCTTCTCTTCCTCCTCCTCCTCCTCCTCTCCACTGAACCTCTCCCTTGTTGTGTTGGGACGATCTCATCGTCTGGTGGAGTTCATGAAAGTCGGCACTCAAATCACAGTCTCTCACGAACTACTCCACACCATCACCACTCTCCTTACATCTCCCATCCCTACCGGTCTGTCGAAATTTTTTCTCAGAGTATATATATACTACATAGTTGGTCTAGATTTTTTGTAAATGAGGCTCCCGAAAAATTTTTTGCCCAGTTCACAATTTTTCGTGGGACGTCGAAATGCAGAAATTGTGCATGTAGAGTGGATCAAAGGGTACTATGGACTGTTCACGTTCACTGGCAAAAATGATAATTTTCATTTTCTCATGGGATATGTTTGTTCTAACTGCTTTGAGCACTATATCAATGATGATGTAACAATGATGTAATGATGATGTGATGCAGGATTGAGGGTGCTAGTGGTGGGGACGTGACGGTGGAAGAGGGCGTGGCTCTGGAAGACCCTCAGTTCCTGGGTCTTCCATCTCTTCCTCATCACCACCTCGTCCCTCTATTGGACTGCGACGCCACACTCTCCTTCCTCAATGCCAGCAACATTCACAAGTAGCTATGTGCTGAAGTTTTCATTTCTCCTCTCTTCTGTTTCTCTCCTCTCTCTCTCTCTTCTTCCCGCCCTTCTCTGCTCCTCTCTTCTCTGATTTGGTCTCTTGATGCCAGCAACATACATACGTAGGTATAGTAAGTTCTGTCCCTTCACAGATTGGGAGTGGCCAGTTCTCCCTGCCGTCCAACGCCTCTTGTGTCAGTTCGACAGCTCCAGCACGGCCATCCAGTGCCTGCGACCATGGCAGCTTGCTCTGTCCGATCACAGAGACCTTCTGCTTGTCGTCAGACAAGACCATCTCCTGGACTGCGCATCATGGCCCCGTTACCAGTGTGGCCTCACTGATCAGACACACCTCACTGCTCAGGACACCTCACTTATCAGGACCCACCTCACTGATTTAGGACACCTCCCTGATTCGGACACATCACTGATCAGGACCCCTCCTGATTAGGACACCACTGATCAGGGCTCACTGATAAGGACACCTCACTGAGCAGGACACCTCACTATTCAGGACACCTTACCTAAGTAGAAAACCTGCCTGATCCAATAGTCAGAAAAGCAGTCATTTGAACCATCGACAAATTGTGCGAGCCCAGTACTAACTCCCTCCACTGCAGCAATGGCAGCGCTGACACGGAGCTGTGACCGTGGCGTCTGAAGGACTAGTCAAGCTAATTTATTGCAAACTGCAGCACAATGTTTTATTTTTCGTTTCATCTTGTCTACTACTAAGATGTGCTATATGCATCGAGCTGCGATGCAAGTACGCATCTGTGCGATGCAGATTGAACTTGAACGTGAACCAGTGGACAGCGATATTTTTTAGCCATTGATGCTCTGTATCAAGTGTGATAAAAATAAGTAAGAAGTAATAGAAAAATAAGTTGGCTGGCTACGACCACATTCGCAAGCACTACTGAGTGCATCTTGGGGCAGATAAGTTCTCCTTTACTGATGTCACTATTTTGGTATCATACACTTTGAGTTATGTTATTGGAATCGAGGTTTTATCTTGTCAGAGTTTACTGTAGCCTGAAGGAGTTACACTGCTAACCCGCATGTGTTACAGCTTCTCCAACTGCCTAGCAACGTGGCAATTCTTACTGCATGCCTGGCCAACCTCAATACTTCCATCGGAGAAATCTCCACTAAACAAGGCGCTTCGTGCCAATGAAATCATGGTTATTGTTGCTAAAAAATCATTAGAAATCATACATGCCTGAACAATGTATGATTGGTAAAATGTAAGTGTTACAGTTACACTGCATAGTACATAATGTTATCTCATAGACCCGCGTATAATGGAATTAACCTTATCCCTTACAAGTTGCAACAGTAATGCAGCAGCAATAAAATGTGTGAATTCGGGACAATGGACACAGGGGGAAAATGGAATATGGAAAGTTTCTCCTGAATAAGAACTGCTAAGGCATTGATTTAACCTGCTGACGCTATAATTGAAGGGGGTTCAGAGGGGCCAACCCCTCAATATACAACTCTGCGGTTTTCTTCGGTACGCTCCTTAGAAACAAAAACGCAAGGGCAAGAGTTGTCTATTGAGGGTTGGTACAGTAGAACTCATCAACATATGCCAATTTGTTTATGTTGCGCACGTAAGGTGATGGTAAATAGGCATCTAGTCTGTGGAGGCATGAACGCACACCAAATTGGTTCTCGAGGCTTTAAAAATGAGGGACAGAGGGGTGCGGCGAGGTTAAGAATATAAGGCACGAGGTTCTAACGGACAACATCACTAATTAGATCGAGGGCGTAGGAGAGGAGGTGACATTACGAGAGAGATATTCCCGCAAAAAAGGCACGGCACGCCTGTGTATGGGATCATGAGATGTGTATAGAGAGTGGTCCGACGAGACAATCAGTCTAGGGCGCACTGGAGAAACGAAAGGAAGGTAGAATGGGTAGTCGGTAGGGGTGGGTAAAATCGAGATTACAAAGGGAATCAAGCCGGAAAGGGGAAAAAAGGGGTAAGATGGGGAAGTGACAGGGGTAAAATAAGTAATGAATAAAGGGGACGGCGAAGGTCAGGGGCGAAGGGAGAAATGTGTTACGATTCCACAGATGGTGATATAGCAACGGATATAGGAAATCAGGTTGCATGTGAACATGTGGTAATTCAAAACATGCGGTTACAAAGGCATGCATTGGCGAATGCCCCAGTTAGAACCACACGGGTGTGAGGTTATTAATGCAAGTAATACGATGAAACCGATGTGAGGTTAATGCGATGTGAAGAATGATGAACACGATGTGAGGTAATGACAAGTAATACGAGAAACCACGATGTGAGGTTGTAACGCAAGGTTGCAGGAAAGTACGTTAGATTAAGCGTCAGCGTGCCCAAAGTATTTGACATGTGTTGTTCGTACTACGAGATTTGCCTGCAATTGTCCAGAAGTAACGCCTGAATAAACAAAACACGACTGGGATCCTCAATGGCTTTGTGCCACACTTTTTTTATTCAGGAGAGGACAATAATAAGTATCAGATTCCTATGGCTGTTGTCAAAATGCCTGGAAGCGTGAGGTAGTCAGACAATGCACTGGGATTCCGTCGGAATCTCCGCGTGGTTGGGGCTACGGATTCTTGTGAGAATGACAAGATTTCTTCACACGTAGCGGT